AAATCAAAGATGTGCCTAGAATTACCTGTGATGTCCAAACACAAGGCATCTATGGAACATATCCTTTAAAAAGAGAGACAGACGATCTAGGTTCCCAGCCAGTTTCTGAAGCTCACTCACGGTGTGATGTTAGACAAGACATTTTACTGTTCAGTTTCCTCGTCCATGAATTGGGGATAGTAATCTTTGTCGTCACTTCCTTCACAGGGTTACAGTTCGAAAAGCATTTTGTGAACTTCAGAACTGTAGTCCTAGAGGAATGTAAATTAATAATAATGTTGTTGTTGAGAAGTCTTTGAAGTTAGTCGGCGTGCCGGCTGGTAGTATCCCCGTTTTAGAGATGATGGAACTGAGGCCCAGAGAGGCTATACCTTCTCCGAGGTTACAGGTTAGGGGGAAAGCAGGGTGGGGACTAGAAGATGAGTTCTCTGCGATGTCCCCCTCTGTCTCAGCCCAGGGTGGGCAGCCGCTGTGCTCTTCTGAAGTCGTTGACCAGAGCAGGCTTGGTTCCCGCAGTCTTCTGAACGGCTTCTCTGCCCTCTCTCCAGCAAAGCGGCGGTGCAGGCTGTGCAGGCGATGAACCAGATCTGCGTGTTGGACATAGACCTGCAGGGGGTGAGGAACATCAAGAAGACGGAGCTGCAGCCCATCTATATCTCCATCCAGGCGCCCTCCCTGGACATCTTGGTATGCTTCCTCCTGGGTGTTGGGGGGCCGAGCAGGGAGCCTTCGCCCAAGCGGCCCCCCCCAGCTGCTGGGCAGCTTGCCCAGTGAGAGGGACGTCATAGCCATGAGCCTAAGCATCTGCTCCCGGAGTGAACCTCCAGGCCCCAGGCTGGGCCTGCCCAGGAAGCTGCTCATTGATTTCTGGCGCTGCTTCCTGTCTGAAGATCTTGCCTCATTTTCTGGGTCTTGGGATCCCCAGGATGCTCCTCTCCATTCTTCATGATCCTGGCACTGGACCATTTCCCCTTCTCCTTCTCAGCTTTGCCCTTGGCTTTTTTCTGTCCTGCGGTTCCTTCTGTCAGCATTAGGTCCCATGGGGCAGCCAGCCTACGGTTCCCTCCAGTCCAGCATGACAAAGCAGAACATGGCTGGGGGACGAGGAGGGGAGGAAGGTTAGACTAGGGCTTCTCCACCCCCGGCACTGATGAATGAAAGGGTCCTTGTCCTTTAACATGAAGAGGACACCACAGAGGGAGGGCTGTCATCCCACCTGTCTCAGAGTCAGCAACCTGAACTGGGCCCTAGAAAAACAATCTGTTCTTTCCTGACCTGAAAAACCTACCCCTCTGCATCCCCTCTACTCACTGTCACCAGCTCAGATTGGAGCAGGGAGAATGATCTTGTGCAGGGTTCTTCTGTCAGGGATGGTCATAACGTGGCGTCGTGACTTTAGAGCTGGGGGGGACCTTCTAAGTCATCAAGGCCACCCCCTCATTTTGCAGAATAGAAAACTCAGCCACAGAGGGAAGGAGTGATTTGTGTTCGTGTTACCCATCTGGTAAGCTCCTGAGGCCAGATTTGAACGCAGCTCTTTTTGACTCTCCACCCAATATTCTATCCACTGTACCATGATGCCTGTTAGTTATCTTTCCCATTTTTTGGTTAGCTGCTTATCTGATAAATGTATTAATGGCTTCTTTGAAGTCATTGCTAGGGATGTCAAACAGAGCCTAGATTAGAGTTCAGGGCTTGTCACTAGAGATTTTCGTGCAAACCAATATCTCTCCAATTTTGCCACATTTAGTCATTTCAAGTTGTCAAAATTTCTCTTTGCCCTCCTGGTAAGACATGAGAGAGCATGAGCATTGAGCTCATCTTTGGGTTGGTCCAGCTGGGCCTCAGGCCTCTTCCTCCAGAGACTTTGTGCAGATACATGGGCCTTGTGGGTAAGACCCCAGCAGACCCAGTGTGAGAGAGCTCTGGTAAAGGACCCTGCTCAGCATCCTCTGAGTAATGAGGGCCAAGGTGGCACTGTGGTGATCAGGCCCTGGTGTGTGTTTCAGGAAAAGCGACTGCGCGACAGGAAGACTGAAACAGAGGAGAGCTTACAGAAGAGGCTGGCTGCCGCCGCCGCCGACATGGAAAGCAGTGAGTAGAGTGGGTGCAGAGAGGCTGCCCACGTGCCTCGTTCTCCTGCCCTGAGTCAGGGGCTCACTGTGACTACCGTCATTCACTTAGGACATCAATAGCAAACACTTTCTGGGTTTGGCTACCTAGGATGCCAAAGATACGACATTCCCTAGCTCTTGTTACCTGGGCGAACTCAGACATATCACTTTTAGCCCCCAGGCCACAGGCTCCTTTGCTATAAAATGAGGGGGTTGAACCACATAATCACTAAGGTTCTCCCGCTCTATGACTTCTAGCTTCCAGGGGGTCTTGGGGATGTAGAGAATTGGGACTCACAGCAGGGGAAGGACACAAGATCCAGAGGCAGCAGGATGTCTGGGAAGAACCTTGGTCTGGGGTATCAGCAGACCTGGATTCGAATTCTCACTCAGCTGCTTTACTTTCTTTCTGACCTTGGGCAAGTCACGAATGTTCTCTGAATCCTACTTTCCTTAGCAGTTAAATAGGGATGATCCCATTGACAATCCCTTTGACTAAAGGGCTGTTGGAAGGATGAGAGCTTGTTGAAAACCTTAGTGTCTCTAGAAATGTCAGCTGACATCATCCTAAAATAGAGCCGCCCTCATGGCTTAGATCTAGTTAGATGATGACTCTCAGAGCTCTAGAATGTTAGTGCACAGGAGGCACACGGTGTCCCGTGCAGACGGCCTGCTGCTGGGCCCATTGCTCGGGGAAGGTTCTCTGAAGGAGGTGGCAGCTGGGCCCAATCTGGAAGAGCGATAGACTGTCGGAGGCCGAGGACTCGGGGGTGGCAGTGGGGATGTGGTCAGGGCAGGGCAAGGCGCTCCTCTCCTTTTGGCTGTACCGGAGGAGATGAGGACAAGCCTCAGGGGAGCCGGGGAGCTGCTGGCCTCCACGTGGCAGGTGTGGATGTGTGGGGAGTGTGCTGGAGGGAGGCCCAGGATGTGGCTCTGAGTTGGAGGTCAGCCACCTGGCACTCGTGCTGCTCCCTGAGCCTCGTCTTCCTCATTTATAAACAAAGGGTCTGAACTGAATGATTCATCAGGCCCTTCTGGCTCTGGATCCTGTGACTCTGAACCCAGGATCTTTGTGAGACCCAGTCATAGCAACAGTTCCATTTTCTATAGCACTTGTCGGTTTATAGCATCATCACTGGAGCGTAGGCCCCTGAGGGGTGGTGCTTTGGTTTGGTTTGGTTTGGTTTTGCCATGGCAACCATTAAGATGTAGAGGAGGTCCTCCCAAGGCCTGCATCAGTGAAGAGCACCCACACCAAAAAAATCCTCCATCTTTGGAGTGTTGAAGTATTTTCAATTTACAAAGAACCTTCCTCCCAAGCCCTGGGAGGCAAGTAGTAGTAATTTAATTCCACAAGCATTTATTAAGTGTCTGCTGTATACCAGGCACCAAGAATACAAAGACTGAAATAAAACCATCCCTGCCCTCAAAGAGTTGATATTCTATCAACTCAAGAGAAGCAGTATGTACATTGAAAATTAAATGGAAAATAGAGAGCAGTTACATGAGAGGGGTCACAAGTCGAATGTGAAGGGTAGTTTGTTAACAATAGAATAGGGAGTGTAGAGGGCCCGGTGGAGTGGGGACCGACCCGGATGGGAGAGGAAGGCTAGAGAAGGGAGCTTCATCCTGGGCTGAGGATGGAGCCCTAAGGAATTGGACGATCAGCCCTTTCATGCTAGCAATGGCCGTGCTAATTTGATAGTGGATGGGGGGGGGATGTGAGGGGTGAGGAGGCATGCATGTGATGGCAAGGTAGATAATTCAATTCAGAAAACCTTGATTAAACATTGACCTGGTGCAAAGCAGTATGCTCGTCTCTGGGATACAAAGTGAAGCCCTTCTGGGGCAATATAGCACGCATGCAAAATATAAAAGGTGCAGAGTTTTACAGAATAACTCCATGAGGGAGAGAAGAAAACGCTCAATGCCCAGGGGAAGGGCATACGGCCTGGTGTTGCAGGTAGCGTCTAAGCTGGGCCTTGAGGAGAGCCAGGGACTCTTAAGATGCCAAGCCAGGAGAGACCGTGGCCTGGACATGGGCAGCACTGAGACCGCTGCCAGGAAACCGGAAATAGAGAGTCCTGTACGGGAACAGCTGGCAGGCCCGAGGAGCTGAAATGGAGCGTGCACAAGGGGGAGTAATAGGAAATCAGATTAGAAAGATAGGTGGCCGCCAGGGAGATGAATTAGAAGGCTATTGGATTAGACCATGTGAAAGGTAACGATTATAGTTATATAATGTTATAATACATATTATAAACACTGACTTACATTTATTTAGCAAAGTTCTTTCCTTACAACAACCCTATGAGGTAAAGAGGGGTGGTGATATTATCTTCGTTTTCCAGCCAAGGAAATTGAGACAGAGAGGGTGGGTGACTTGGCTCAGAGATGCTCAACTACTGAATATCAGAGATGAGTTGATCCTAGTTCTTCCTATAGTACATTAGGGCTCTTTTTCACACACACTGGATAATCCCAGTGGCCCTTCTGGCCATAGCTTATTTGGGAGCAGCTCAGACAAGATGGTGGCCTCCCTTGGAAAGAGAGGGGAGGGCAGTCTCCTGAGAGAGCCTGGGCCACAGACCCACTTCTAACGCTGTCCCTGGGCCTCTCCCTCTTGTGCTTCCAGGCCAGGAGCCTGACCTGTTCGACACGATCATTATCAATGACGACTTGGATGAGGCTTATTCGATGCTGACGAAGGTCCTGGCTGAGGTGAGGCGCTCGGCCCCCTTGTCTTCCCTTCTCCTGGCCGGAGGCCCCGAGGTCTGGAGCAGGCCAGGCACCTGGTAGAACTTAGGGCAGTGCCCTTTTATGGCCCCTTGGGGTTTGGATCTTTGCCGACTGAGGGCCGTCGGGCCACTCACTACCTTTCTCTTAGTCTCAGTGTCTCTGCTGCCCAGTGAAGGACTTGAATGAGGAGATCTCTCTGCAGTCCCTCAGATGTTCTGTGGGGCTCCCACGCAGGGAGGGAATTCAGCAGTGCCCCCTTTGGCCCAGGGGTAGAGGCGGGCAGCAGCTCTTTGGCCCCAGCTGTTCTCTAAGTTCCCCAGCTGCCTGTGGCACGTTTTCTGGCCCCAACCCGAGCCTTCTCTTTCCCTGTAGGAAATCAAGAAGGCCCAGCAATCCAGCAACTCATGAAAGGAAACCAGAGGCCATCCCACTGCCCTCCCCCCACCCCTTTACATTCCAAGAGACACATTCCCTTTCATCTGACCCCTCCCTGGTCCAAGCCACAGAAGAGCCTGTGTGTGCATCAGCTGGAGCCTTGGGCATCTTGGGCCAGGGCACAGGTGGGTCACTGTGCATTTTGGACCCCACATCTTCTCCCACCATCAAGACCCCAGGGGCATCCTCAGAGCACCCTCCAAGACCCATCTGGGGAGAGACCCCGTGTCCCCAAGGCTCCACCACCTATTGGCTAAGGCTGGGAACCGCTAGGCCAGGTTGGTGATGAGCAGCTAGCCCTACAGTGACCTTTGGACCAGGGAGAGGGCATACAGACTCTACAGAGAAAGGAGACTCCCAGGGGCTGCTGACCATCTCAGCCCTGGCTCTTTGGGTTCCCATGTACGCCTACCACAAGCCTGACCATGTCAGTCAGCACCACAAGGCTCCTTGAATTGGAGAAAAGAATTCTGCTGTCCTTTGATTTCCACAGTGGGTTCTCTGGGGAGTCTGTCCACTCAAGCTCCTCCAGAGAGGGGAGGGCCTGCCTTGTATTTGGCAGCAAAGGCAGCTGGGCAGTAGCCAGCTCACACCACTGCCATGGCCGCCAGGTTCTGGAAAACATCCCCTGAGCGGTAATTCACCCTGGACTGCCAGCCTGACTCTCCAGCTTGGAGGGTACAGTGGGTTTATGAACAGTTTGGAATTTGGAAAAGCATCCTGGGGACCATTGGGCTCACCCCACCCCACATACCCACACATCTGCCCTCACACCTCAGATCCTTGGACTCATTTCCTGACTCCTATTAACCCATGGTGGAGGGGGGATTCATTACCTGCCCCATCCCTCCCCACCACCTCCTCCTCACCCACCCCCCAATCCTCTCCACCCCCCAGCAGACTAGAGCAGCCTGGACTCTTTTGAGCAGTACAGCCAGGTCATGGCCATGCATCCAGAGGTGACCTAAGAGCAGTCACGATGCTTTGTGTCCCTGGTTCCTCATCACTCCAGTCTCTGTGAGCCCTAGATTGTCCTTCTCTGAGCCCAGAACCCAGCTTGTAATAAAATACATTTTATTTTAGAAAGGCCTCCTGTCTTTTCCTGGAAAGTGAGCTTGGGGAATCTAGCCACGTTTAGAGGCCCCTCCTAATCTGCCTGTTTTCATTGCTCTGGGAATTCATCCTACAGCAGGGAGGGGGGTGCCTGGCTTGTAGGCAAGTGAAGGGAGGTAGAAACCCCTGACCCCAAACCCTTTCTTCCCACCACCCTGGGTGGGGTAGGCTTCCTCTTGGCCTCAGTGATTTGGTCTGCTTTCTTAAAACTCCAGAGGAATCCTGAGCACCCATCTCCCCGACAAAGAAACAGGCCCTCCCAGCCTAGCACCCACACATGCGCTAGGCCCCATAGTAAGCCTACCCCTTCATTACGCAGGACCCCAAGATGGTGCCAGGGAAATCTGACTGCAGAAGGAGCAGCTCAAGGCCTTCATACCCCCTTGCCTGCCCCTACAGTCTCCCTGTGGATATATGACACACAGAAGGGTCTGAGGGCAGGACCTCAAGGAGGAAAGACTTCTTTCTAGAGCAGGATGGGTGGACACTTCCTCCCTGTCTGGAGGGCCAGGTCCCAGCTGCTCCCTCCCACCCCCCAACTCGGGATCCTAGGAAGTAAGGATCAGGCTACCTTAAGTCAAGGCCAGGAATCTTATAAGATTAGCCCATTTTGGAATCTGAGAGAAAAGTTTGTCTTAAGTCTATACCTTTCACCCCCTGATAATGTTCCAGGAGAATGTGTCCTTGGCATCTTCCTTGCCCTCTCTCTAGGGGACAGTGAGTCTCTACTGAGAACTCCCTGTGTGTCCTGGTCTGCTGGGCTTTGTTGTGGGTATGGGCAAAGACCCGAGCTGCTGCCCAACCCCACATTTGGGATCCTGCGATGTCACTAGACCCACAACGTCACACTAACAATGTCTTTCTGGGATAATGTATGGCCATGAGACAGGAGGCCATGGTATCCAAAAAATTAAAAGGTAGAGGTCACTCAGGTCAATGAAGAGGCATGGGTGGGCATGAGCAGGCTGAAATAGATTATTGATGAAGAATTACACATGTGAATTCAATCAACGTTTATGAAGCACCTGCTGTGTTCATGGCAGGTGGTGAAGGGGATAGAATTCCAGGCCTGCAGTCAGGAAGACTCATCTTTGTGAGTTCAAATCTGACTTCAGACACTTACTAGCTATATGACCTTGGGCAAGTCGCTTAATCCTGTTTGTCTCAGTTTCCTCATCTTTAAAATGAGCTGGAGAAGGAAATGGCAAACCACTCCAGTAGCTTTGCCAAGAAAACGCCCCAAAAGGGGTCACGAAGAGTTGGACACCACTGATCAACATAACTGTTGAAGACACTGTGTACTCAGTGCTAGGCATCAGAGACAGAAAGGTAACAGTCCCAGCCCTCAAGGGGCTTACAGTCTGCTGGAGAGATACAGCACGCACATGAGTAAACAGAAGGTACGTACAAAGCATTGTCCAGAAGGGGAAGGTGCTAATGACTGGGGCCGGAAGGAGGCGTGAGGGGGCTCCTGTGGGAAGTGATATCTGAACTGGCCCCTGAAGGAAGTTGGGAAGCCTATGAGTGAATGCAGTCTGCAGAATATCTCAAGAAGGTCTCAACCTTGGCAGAAGGTCCACGTGGAGGATTTATGGGTGGAGATGCAAGTCACACAGGATGAGGAGGTACCCTGTTAGAGGAAGCCAGCCACCTCAACGGAATCACAGTTCCATCCAAGTACAAGACTGGAGACTACCTGGAGACGGAGCTTGGGACCTTGGTGGCTCATAGCCCACAAAAGACCCTGCTGCTGGTACAGAGACTCCACCCAGGTGCACTGAGGCAGGCCCTACCCAAGGGCCCAGGACGTCCTAGAGCACCGTAGATGCTTAGAGCTGGAGGGGGCAGCCCTTGTAACCAGCCACCCAGCACAGGAATCCCCTCTGGCGTCTGCACTCTGCTGGAACACTTAGCCGGGATACTGGTGAGAGACAGGGAGCTCACCCTCTGTCCAGAGAGCTGTTTCATTTTTGGAAACAGCTGTAATCTAAGAAACCTGCTTTGTGATGATGGCCTGAAGTCCCGTCTGGCTGTAACTTCCAATCATTTGTTCCCCAGAACAAGAATGATTCATCGTCCCCTTCAGACCCTTAAGCCTTCTGTTTTCCAGGCTAATTCATCCAGATCCTGAGACCATCTTGTATGTCCCCATCCTGACCAGCCTCCTTTGAACCAGCTTCCACTTTTCAGCGTCCTTCCTAATGCAGGGCACGCAGCGCTGGGCCCAAATACTCCAGATGTGGCCTAACCAAGGCAGGGGCCGTTGGAGCTCTAATCCCCCTGGCTCTGAGTGCTAGACTTCTCTCAGGAGAACTTAAGACTGTCAGCTTCAGGACTGGCATCAATCACATTGTTAACTCTGGTTAAGGGAGGGACGTGTGAGGAAGGATCAACTGCCCTCCATGAAGTGAGGGGTCCTAGGGAAGCCCCATCTGGCCCCAAACCTCTCCTTCTTCCTCACTGAAGCTTGAATGTCTTTCCCCAGGTACTTCCAAAAGTTTAGTAAAAGGTGAGGCAGGATGAACCCGAAAGAGCTGGGTTCAAATGCCCCAGCTCTGTACTAGCTCTGTGACTTTAGGCAAAGATGTTTACTTTCTCAATGCCTCAGTGTTTTTCTCTGTAAAATATGGGGATTTTAAAATAAGATTTTAAGAAAACTCTAAGGTTCTTTCTAGTCCTAGTGTTCTCAGGTCTGAGGTCCTTTCCAACCTTGACACTTTGTGTTCTGAAATCCTGCCTACCTCTGGGCCTCAGTGGAATGAATAGAGAGCTGGAGATGAGTCCGGCGGGTTCAGATCGTTGCCTAGCACCTACTAGTCCTGGGACCACAGATGAGTCACTTAACCTTATTCAGCCTCAGGTTTCTCAACTGCAAAATGGGGATAAAAATACTTTTACTAGACCCACATCACAGGGTCATTTTAAGGCTCAAATGAGTTAAGGTAAGGCATTTGCCAGCCTTAAAATACTAGTTGTCATCATCTGATTCCCTCTGTTTCCCTTGGGGTGGTTGACATTTACCTCAAGGACTCTGGGAACAGATCTCATCATTTCCTGAGATTTCCATGACGGGGGTGGGAGGAGTGTGGAGGTGGATGAGAAAGCACAAGGGTCCTGGATTTCTGAAGTGGGGAGGAAGCTTAGGGGCTCCTTCTCAAGTCCCTTCATCTCCCTGGGCCTCAGCTTCTCTGTCTGTGAAATGGAAGGGTTGGACTAGGGATGGCCTTTCGGGTTCCTTCCTGCTCCCTTCCAGCTCCCTTCCAGCTGTAGATCCCCATCCTGATGTCCCTTCTCCTTTCACACCTTCTTTGCTGGGAAGTTGAAGGATTGTAGTGCTCAAGACCACAGCCAGGGGGAGCACTGGGCAGCAGGACTGGACTGGACATCCTTGTCCCATAGATGGAATTTAGGCTTACCCTGATCACAATCTCATAATCTCAGTGGTGGGAAGGAAGGGAAGCTGGGTTTACCATATTTTTTTGTTTTGTTTTGTTTTGTTTTTAATTTATTTTGATTTATCAACAGTCACTTCCATAAGCTTTTGAGTTTAAAATTTTTCTCCCCCTCCCTCCCCACTGCCCTCCCCAAGACGCTGCACAAGCTGATATAGGCTATACATTTACATTCTTATTAAACATATTTTCACATTAGTGATGTTGTAA